AAGAAAGAATCAAAGGAAACCCTCACTTGACAATTTTCCTTTTATTTGCATAACTTTTACATGCAGTACAGTAATGTATAACAGCATATAAAACCTAGAGTACTGTACTGTATAGTACAATCAGCAAAAATTACAGTACTATTTAAACAAGGTGTACCATACAAAAAGAAGACAGTAAGGCTCTATAAACATGTACAGAGCTGTACCAATAAAAGGCAGATGTAAGTCTGAGCAGCGGGTCATAAGTCTAAACAGCACTCTTCAGTCATAAGTCTGAACAGTTGTTAAACAAGTAGGTTGTTAAATAAAGAATGTATATAAAAGCAGCATGTGTAGGAAAGGAAGTCAAATTATCATTATCTACATATGATATGATCCTCTACATAGAAAGACCCAAAAAATTCCACCAAAAGACTGCTAGAATTCATAACCAAATTGAGCTATGTAGTACACAAAATCAACATAGAAAATCAACAGCATTTCTGAATACCAATAATGAACTCACTGAGAATCAGGAAAATAATATCATTCCCAATAGCATCAAATAAAATTAAATACTTACGCATTAACCTAAGGAAGTAAAAGACCTCTACCATGAAAAGTTTAGTACTTTGAAAAAAAGAGATTGAAAACAACATCAGAAAATGGAAAAATATCGCTTGTTCCTGGATAGGCAGAACCAGTATTGTCAAAATGGCAATACTTCCAAAACTGATACATGGATTTAATGTAATCCCAATCAAAACGTCTACAGAATTCCTTACAAGAAGAGAAAATAACCCTAAAAGCTTAAATTCTTGCTGAGCTTTCTGAATCTATATGCTTAGGCAAGTTCAGAAAAATTTTTGGCCATAAGTTTTCAAATATTTTTCTGTCCCCTTTTCTCTCTCCTCCCCTTCTCCTTCTTGAATTAAAATTACCCATATGTCAGATTACTTAACACATTCCCAAAATCATTAAGGCTCTATAGATGTTCATTCTTTTTCTCTGTATGCCTTTTCTAATGACTTCTGATCTGTCTCTTAAATTCTGGGGGGAAATCTTGCTTTCCTTTGAATGTAAACAGTTCTTAATTCCACCCAGAATAACATTCCATCTTGTTTTTTTCTATTATGAAAATTTCCTCTGTATCCATTATATGTATCATTACATATTTTCCTACAGAATGTTTAACATCTGTTTGCAATCCTTGTTTAGTAACTTCTGAGTCAAATAGTGCTTCATTTTAATTGTTTATTTCCTTAGCTATGGGTAATACTTTTGTTTCTTCACATATCTATTACTGTTTTATTATTAACATTGTACATTTATTAACATAAATTTAGTCTGTTATTTTTCTCTGAAAGTATTTGGTTCTAACATTCAGGTAAATTACTAGTAGATCATCTTGAACATGTGACTTTGTCTTATACTTGTTAGAGTGTGCCTATTTCAGCTTTGTCCTTTGGTCTAGATCTTCTCCTTATTTCATTTTTGTCTTAGCTCTTAGTTCTGGAAATGGTTTTTACTTCTAAGATTTGGCAGTAGAATGAAACAAGCAGATCCTGTTGTGGGAAGATTCCCAATTGCTCCTTGAGTTTTATCCCTTGTGTACATGAAGTTCCAGTTAGAGGCAAGGATGTGAAGGGAATTATATGCAAATATGAGGCTCCCAATAAATCCAAAGGTGATATCTTCATGAGGGAGGATTCATAAAATATAAAATTATTTTAAATGTAAGATATTATTAGTTGTATCACAATTATTAAGAGAAAGTACAGAGATACTTTGGTTCATCAATTTAATTTGTTTTACAATTTTAGAAAAAGATGGCCATGTTTGTGTTTGTGTGGGAAAGATGAAAGATGCCCATGATTATGTTTGTTACATGATACAGAGTTTACAAACAAAAACAAAATTTTTCCAAACACTTCTGTTTGTGAATAAAATTGTCTGCAAACAAAAGCATTCATGAACCAAGGTACCACTGGATTTCCAAATCTTGGTGTAAAGGGTATGTACTACAGTGCTTATTCCAACATTACTTAAAAACAAAACATGGAAACCAATTAAATGTCACTAGTTGTAACATGGTTATACAAATTAGAGTATAATCATACTGTGAGATATTTTGTACCAATTTAAAAACTGTGGGCCAATGTATGCTAATGTGAAAAATTATAAAGGAAACTATTAAGTAAATCAGTTACAAAATTATATGTACGGTAATTTATATAATCTTTTCTCACCACAGGGTGTGTACCATTTATAAGAGGGATGAGATAGAGGAATGTGATAGGGAGAAGTTTCAAAGGAATTATCACATTTCCTCTAATATTTTAATTTTTATCAAGGAGAATATATTCCTAGAAATGAAACCAATTCTTCAATAAGTTTGGGAGAAACAGAGTCCAACAAATCTGGATTCATATCCTGCTTTGTCAATTACCTTAGCCATAGACCTTATAAACATTTAAATTTTCTGAAATTCTGTAAGATATTTTGAGTATTTAAATGATAGCCTATAGAAATTGCTTGAAAAATATCAGTAACTCAACAAATAAAAATAGACTTAGTAATACTGAACAGTTGTTCTTGTACATTCTACAAAACAGAATAATTTGATACCATGTAATTAACCTACCTAAATAATTTTTGTCTTTTAGTTCACCTTTTCCTTGTTTCTCTAGTTTCTTCTCATAGGACTGCCTTCTAGCTCTATAATCATTTCTATTACTGACAGCATGTATGAATGCATTAGTCAATTGTGTAGCTGCATGTCAGTTGTGCAGTTGTATTGTATACTGTAAACATGCTTTGTTCATGACCTCTAATAACTCTGAAAGTGCATCAATTTTTTTCTTTATCCTTTGAAATTTTGAGCTAAGATTATACAAAACTTAGGCAAGACCAAGTCATCCATGCTTTACACAATGTTTTATCAAAAAAATACTGCTTGCAGCATTATCATTTACTAAAAACATTTTAACCATTCCAGTCTCCTCTTTTTTTCGGGATGGGGGTGGTACCGGAGATCGAAATCCGGTCCTTGCTCTTGCGAGGTAGGCGGCGGAACCACTGAGCTAAATCCCCAGCCCCCACTCTCCTCTTGAATTTGACAAATAACACCTTTAAAAATTTTGAAAATTACTGATTGTTGCTTAGTGCTTTGCATCTGAAGCTTTGTATTTGTATGCTTTGTATTTTTGCTTTCCCCATTTTTTCATTAATGACTCATGGCTTATTTTTATTCTCTTTTTTATCTTTAGCTCCCTCCGTCAAAATATATACAGAGAGACAAGAGACGGGACAAAGAAGATATTTTAGGGTCTTTGGAAATGCTTTTTTCATTTAGGTATGGCCTAGATACACTAAAAGCATTTGACAGAAAATCACTGAAATTCAAGAACCATTTTCATTTTTTCTGAACTAAAAAATGTAAAAGCAATGTTAACATAAAAACTAAAATATGTACAGCACAAAATGTTTGAAAGCATTAGATTGGAACATGAATGCTGTAGTTCAGGCAAAAGATGATCCTTACATGTACCACGGCCATGACTAAGTATATTCAGAAGAGACAAAAAATAAGAAACAAAAGGAGAAATAATAATCTTTTAGCATTTGAATTCATTCTTTTTTTAAACATTGGCTGTTTGGGGAAGAAAGCTACTCACATCAATGATGAACTCATATTAAGCAGTTAGTATAATGACTGAAAAAAATGATGTTGCTAAAACAGTAATGTGACTGTATTTGTCCTTTAGTTTTATAATTTCTGATGAAGAATCTTTACTTTCTTAAGTTTTTTCCTTTTTAGACTATAATATTGTGATGGAAATGAGGACTACTTTTAAATGTTCTGGAAGTAACAGAACTAAAAAGGTATTCAGCCATTTTTGCTTTCTCAATCCCCTCCCCTCTTCCAATCATCCCACCAAACCCCATCCCACTAACCCCCTACTCTATCCATAAAAGACTCAGCTCAATAAACTGGACTTGGACTCTCTGTTGGAATTACTCCAGGAGGTCCTCCCCAGAATCCCCAAATTCAGAATGGCTGTGTCATCGTTTACTGAACAACATTCATCAAAATTAATCAAGTCAAACATTTACAATGTGTATGTTAATGTAAGAAAATTACTAAGTAATTTCCAATTTCTAGGATGCAATTTATACTCATACCAATAGTATATTAAAATGCAGTTGCTTGGGCTGGGGATTTAGCTCAGTGGTGCTGCTACCTGCCTTGCAAGTGCAAGGTCACAAGTTTGATCCCCAGTACCAAAAAAAAAAAATCAGTTGGTCTACATCTTAATTTGATGGCTAACTATGGGACTGTCAATTTCGTTGTTAATAAGTTGGTCATATTTTCCATTACTTTTTAGATAATCATGTGTGAAAAAATAAGTCTTTCTATATCATTTACCCAATGTTATACTGGTTAGGTATTTTCTTATCGTTCATATGTATTATAAATATAATCTCTAGAGCTGAGTCTTGTCTTCTCTATTGGTATGGTGTACTTCCAAAATCTAGAAATGATATATTCAAAAGTAAATAATATTTAATAATGGAGTTTTTTTTATTTTAAAATAAATGTTTCTCTAACACAAATGGTTTTTTCTCGTTTTTTCTTTAATACTGTTTGAAGAAGGTGTATTATGAAGTGGAACTCAGATTCACTCTGATGTCCAGGATTGATCATTCTCTTTGACTGTACAGCCTCTGCTTTCTAGCCATTAAGCAGAAACCAAGTTGTTGGTGGAATGAGACCTGGAAGAATTCTAGGGCACATTTAAAGCAGGATTATTTACTTTATTTGAATACATTCACATATATGATCATCTTTGAATGAGGGGGTTATCTCTAATTATCTATTCATGATTTATATTTATCTACTAAATTTCATAATTCTTTTGTTCTCTGAACAACTGAGAGTAAATTATGGAAATATAAATATAGCACAAGCTTAAAAAATGGTCTCATAAAGCACTGAAATTTAGATAATTAAAACTTACCTCTATTTCTTTTCTTAACTTTTCATGTGTCTTTTTTTCTTCTTCAAGAAAACAAGTTGTCTCACTGATAGATTCTTTTACAGTTACAATTGTATTCTTTAGCTTTGAAATATCTTCCTGTGTTTATAAAATTTAAAATATACAAGTCAAAAAAGGAATGGTCAATATAAATCCAAGACTTTCAGTGTTTTCATAATTTAAGAAAAGTAACTACATCAAAACTTAATTTTATAAGTAGGATTAAAATATTATTTTTATAGGTATATGAGATAAAGAAATATTATTTGAACAAATATTAGACTTGAAAGCACTGAACTTAAAAAAAAAAGTAAGATAAAGGAAAGTGGTAGTTATGAAGTTATGATGGCAATTGTCTGGTAACAGTGCAGAAGATAAGTCTGTAGCAAAAAATGGCAACTATTTTAAGTTTGTATCTTCTATCATCTTCAAACAGTGATACTAGGAATACCAAGATGCTTAAGGTATAATTATTAATTCAGATTGCTTGCATAATAGCTTTAAGCATACTACACTGATTTGAGTTGGTCTGGATTAATTAGCAGGGAAGCTAGAGCGTCACATTTTGGTGAATTACACTTTCTTCAACAAATTGATTAACATTTCACTGTGATTTTGTCTGACTACATATTTTTATAAATCCACAGCGGACTTGTAAAATCTTCTTTATACCTTTGCATATTTGGGATAGTTATTACATACCTCATGTACTTATCCCAGTTTTTGAAAACTGAGAATGTAGTAGAACAGTTATGGGCATTTTACTAACTTAATGATAAATTTATTAATATTTGTACTTACAAAACAAGAGTAACAGAGGGCCAGAGATTTAGCTCAGTGATTCTGCCGCCTGCCTTGCAAGCGTAAGGTCCCGAGTTTGATCCCCAGTACCAAAAAAAAAAAAAAAAAAAAAAAAAAAAAAAAAAAAAAATTGCTTTCTGAAAAAAAAGAGTAACAGAAAAAGTTGTTAATAATTCAAACCTGTGTTTGTGTTATTCTGTTTCCGCCTGGATTTTGGAGGCCTTGCCTAAGCTCCTCTTTCATTGTCTTTAGTGTTTTAATGAGATCTCTTTTTTCATAAAGTTCAGTCATAAATGACCATTTTCTTTCTATTTCCCCCAGACTATCTTTATGAGTCTTTATTTTTTCATAATATGCATTATATCTTTTCATCTGTTCACCAAAATTTTCTTGAGCTGTTGCTATATCAAATTTAAGCTTTATATTTTCTGTATATAAGGTCTTGATTTGAATTTCCAGGTTTTCACATTGAAGTTTGGAATTCTCAATGGCAGTATCTTGCTGATAAATTTGCCTCTCTGTTTCTTTAGTTTCGGCACAGATTGCTGCTATGTGCTTTTCAAGTTCATGAAGTTCATTCTGTAATATATTTCAACATTATCATTATTAATTCATAGAATTCAGCATGAGAGGAAAGTCATTGTTTTGATCCATAATGCATGTAAGAAAACAACATAAAATATATATTTATCAAATACAGAAAAATCTATGCATACAATAGAAGGAAACATGCAATACTGTAACAGTTATTTTATAATCTCAGAAGGGTCTGAGTTATGTATTTCTTACTTTAAAATATTCATCTAGTTCTAAATATTAAAATTTCATCATTTTAACGTTTTATGTGTAAAAAAATATACTTAACAATCATTTTAATAATGTATTTATGGGTATCAGAAGTACACATTAAAGAAAAACACATGTACTTATAAAGATAAAAATTTTAAAAAGAAACAATATGATAAAAATGATAAAGCCCTGAGATAAGAATAAAAAGATCTAGGTTCCAGTACCTTCAGTGCTGTTTCCTACTTTGTACTGTATAATCATATATAACAAACCTGCCCCATCCAAACCTCACTTTCTTTATTTGTAAAATGGATACAAAAATATCTATTCTGCCCCAGTGGGGCATCTGGCATTGCTCTCTGGTACCTCCTTGTTAAAACACAGGTTTCACAGCACCATTTTTCTACGATTCTCCTTAGGTATTTCTGAGCATACCTTTTAAAAAAATTCTTTTATTGGTACATTTTAGGTATAAAATACATTTACATTTATCATTGGGTGCTTGTACCTGTACATGATGTATCTTAGTTCTCATTTTTTTCCCCATTACCTGTGCTCCCTTCACCCCCTCCACTCTTCCCTATTTACATAGATTTCTTTTCCGTTTTTTAAATCTTTTCTCATAATTTTTCCTTTCCCTTCTTCCCTTTCCCTTTCCCCTCCCACCACCCCTACACCTTTGGACGTTTTCCTATTTCAAATGATCAATTAGTCATTTTAATCATTTTAATCCTTATTTACACTTAGTTTCTCACACTAGAGAAACTATTCAGTATTTACACGTGTGTCCTATTTATTTCACTTAAGAGTACAGACTCGCTATACAACCATTTAGCTATAAATGTCTGTAGTTTCTCATTCTTTATGGCTGAGTAGTACTCCATTTTATTAAAAACCCCCACATCTTCTTTATCCAGTTAACAGTTGATGGGGACTTGGGCTGTTTCCAAGCTTTAGCTATTACAAACTGTGCCGTTATAAACGTGGCTGCACATATATTGCTGTGGTATGATACTTCTAATTCTTTGGGGAAGATATACAGCAGGGGAACAGCTGGATCAAATGGGACCTCTAGCTCTAGTTCTTTGAGGTATCTCCATACTGATTTCCACAGTGGTTGCACCAGTCTGCACTCCCACCAACAATAGAGAAGGGTTCCTTTTTC